CTTCATTTCAACGGATGTAAACAAAAGGAGGATGTAAAAATACTTTAGTAGATATTTTGTACAATAAATATTAAATGCTTACCAAAGTTTATAAAAAGGTCTAACGTTAGGTCGTAGAATAACATTATAATCTTATTTATTGACAGTATTAAGTGCGGTAAAATTTAGCCCTAACTAAACCAAAGCAAAAAAATTACACAAATTTCATTGTTAATATGTCTCTTTATCAAACATAGGCCGTACTTAATAAAGGCTTAACTAATGTTAGGCCTAAAACAAGTGGACTTATAGATCTCAATAACTACGCCCAGTCCCCAATGACACAGCGGTATGTCTACGGACTTACAACGCTAGAATCCTGGTTTCGCTACCCGTGGTGGGTAGAGCATAGATAGCACATTGTGTAGCTTTGTGCTTAATACCAAACAAACTCAATATATTCGGTTAGAATTCTTTTGTATTATTCTAGAAATGCTGTATTTAAAGAAGTACTGTTGCAATAAAGATACTAGTTTGACCGCAAATGTTTTGCGAGTCTCTGCTAATTTACAAAATATTTCTTAAAGGCTAATTTGTTAAGCATGATAATAAAGAAAAGGGCAGTTGGTATACGCTTTATGTATGTTTGTTTGTTTGTTTTGAATTTCGCGTAAAGCTACACGAGGGCTATCTGCGCTAGCCGTCCCTAATTTAGCAGTGTAAGACTAGAGGGAAGGCAGCTAGTCATCACCACCCACCGCCAACTCTTGGGCTACTCTTTTTCAACGAATAGTGGGATTGACCGCCACAGTATAACGCCCCCACGGCTGAAAAGGCGAGCATGTTTGTAGTGAAAGGGATTCGAACCCGCGACCCACAGATTGCCCCTAGCCACCTGGCCATGCCAGACCACGCTTTATGTAACTTTTACTCTAGTCTCAAAGCGGTAAATCTTAATATACGTTTCCATAAATCAGAAGTTATATATATGTTATATGAACTAGGATAAACTTCTAAATCAGTCGCTTAAGAAAAACATTTAAAGCAAATAGAGTGAATTCTTCTTTCGGACAGATTTGATAAGTGATAATGGCGTAAAAAGTTTAAATCATTAATCTTAAAAGCGCCATTTCATGCCGTTTCTTTTAACCTTGCGAACAAAAGAAAAGAGAGTAACAACAGAATAAATTTCGATAAAAAATAATTGGTACGACAAATAGAAATTTAAAGAAACCAATTAGGCTTTATGCTAATTTGATGTTCTTATTTTAGATTCACAAGTTACCTAAAATCACTGTTCAAGTATCTGCTCATAGCCAGTGTGAAAAAAGTAAGATTAAAGATTTGTCATTGTTTGTAGTTAAGAGCAGAGCTACACACTGGGCTATCTGTGCTCTGCCCACTACAAGTACTGAAACCCTGTTTCTAGCGGTATAAGTCCGAAAACATGCCTCTGTGCCCCTGGGGGACATTTATCATTCCATTAGATAGAAATATTAAATGGTTTAAAGAGCATTGAAACAAACACTGTAGAATTATCAATGAAAGAATAGACATTAATTCCTACCTATCATTAGTAATTGCATTGTATGCCTAAAAGAAAAAGGTAAAGATTTTAAGGCAAAACTCAGAAAGATTACTGGAAGCAAAATATATTTTTACTCCAATTGATGAAGTTTAAAAACCTTTTGTCAGCTATATAAGTATTTTTTAACAATTTGCTAGAAAAAACATAAATGTTTCTATGATAATATTAGTCATAAATGTATCATTGTATGGTAATATTAGTCATAAAAGTATTATTCTATTGTAATATTAGTCATAAATGTATCATTGTATGGTAATATTAGTCATAAAAGTATTATTCTATTGTAATATTAGTCATAAAAGTATCATTATGTGGTAATATTAGTCATAAAAGTATTATTGTATGGTAATATTAGTCATAAAAGTATCATTGTATGGTAATATTAGTCATAAAAGTATTATTGTATGGTAATATTAGCCATAAAAGTATCATTGTATGGTAATATTAGTCATAAAAGTGTCATTGTATGGTAATATTAGTCATAAAAGTATCATTGTATGGTAATATTAGTTATAAAAGTATCATTGTATGGTAATTACAAACTATATTTTTTCACACTTAACGAATTTTAATAAACAGTATATTTTCTTTCACAACATTTTGTTCAACTTGGCACAAGACGTCTTTCGTTAAATATCGAGCTCAGCTTTACCCCACGAGATGCTAAGCGATAACTACTTGAACATGAATTATGCTCATGCCGAAGGAAGACTGCACTAAGACTCTATACATCAGCTGCTCAATCATGTATATTGACAACATATTATACTGCATGTTCTAGTTTTTCTCGACACTCTTCAACTTATTTATCCACCAGATGTCTCCGTGAAAAAATATTTTGTCTAGAATAATGCGCATTACTTACATTTCTTTATAGACATCATTGTTCGTTTGTTTGCAGTTAAACACAAAGCTACACAATGGACTATCTGTGCTCTGCCCACCAAGGGTTTCGAGAGACAGACATACCGCTGTGCCATTGGGGGGGGGGGGGCAGACATGATTGTCGAAAAGCTTAAACACATTTTTTTGAAAAATAGACAGTTTCAGAGATCAAGATAAAAATGTTTCATTTTCTAATACAAATATTCCATATAAGTCGTGCTACAAGGTTTCCTTTTTGAATCATTTTACATACACTATAACTTATTCAACATTACGCCATTTAGTGAAAAAAAGATGAAACATTTACTATTATTCATTAAATATTTTGACACGAAGTCTAACCTATTCTATGATAAGTTCACGCTTTCTATTGTTTCAAATTTTACAATCATGACCAAATCATAATTTCATTACATCTAACTATTTAATACTATATTTGGAATTGTTATGGCAAAAATGAACACTTTTAAATTGTTTGGGTTCCGTTATCCTTCCATTTTGCTCAGGTATTGTGAACTAGCTGGAGTACGCGCCCCCTGGACGGAAGTTATGTAAATTCATGATTAATCTTAGAACATTAAAAGTTGCTTCCCTTATAAATAATTGTAAAAAACGCTCATA